CAAACGCTGCGTCTGCCAACCTCATGGCCGCCCTTCTCTTCAGGCAGGAGAACTTCGTTAATTTGTTATACGAAATTGCAGTCAGCGTTCCTCATTCCCTTCCGCTATCCATACGCCGGAGGTTGGCAAAGGTTTTCCATTATGGTGGTGCCCACAGCGGTAGCGGGACATCTGCGGTTGCCTGGTTTATCTTATACGTCGTTCTTGCCACCAAAGACTATGTCGACAAACCGACAATCGACAACCGGAATAATCTCATCCTATCCTATGTCATCATCACCATGTTCGTCCTGATCGTTTCCTCCGCCTACCCTCGATTTCGCATTCTGTTCCACGACTACTTCGAGGCAGGGCATCGATATGCCGGCTGGATCACCCTCATCACCTTCTGGGTTCACAACGGATTGGTGTCATTATACAACGCACGCGAAGAAGGAATTCCAACTGGGCTTTACTTCGCCAAGTCTCCCAACTTCTGGTTCTTCTGTGTTTCGACCAGCTGCACTCTTCTATCTTGGTCCCGCCTCCGCCGTTACGAAGTATTCCCCGAAGTGCTTTCGGACCATGCCATCCGCCTACACTTCAAGTACAGGGCCATGCAGCCCTTTTACGGTCTCAAAGTGTCGACCAGGCCTCTTCTCGAATGGCACGCATTCGCTACTATCCCCGACGAGGACGAAAACGGCAAGATCAACGGGTTCTCCGTGGTGGTTTCCAATGCCGGTGACTGGACTCGCCAGGCGATCAGTAGCCCATCTCGAAAACTTTGGATTCGCGGCTATCCCCTCCATGGTCTCCTCTACACCTCGCGCCTGTTCAAGAGAATCGTCGTTGTTGCAACCGGATCCGGAATTGGTCCTTGCCTGTCGCTCCTGTATGCCAATGTCACTCCTCGCCGCGTCTTGTGGTCCACGCCCCACCCGGAGACGACATACGGCTCGAAAATCATGAACGCAGTCCTCAAAGCAGATCGCGATGCCATCGTATGGAACACGCGAACGTTGGGACGACCCGACATGGTCGCTCTCACTTACCAGCTGGTCTTGGAATCTAACGCCGAGGCTGTTTTCATTATCTCTAACCCTAAAGTGACGAAGAAAGTTGTCTACGGCATGGAAACCAGAGGTATCCCAGCATACGGTGCCATCTTCGATTCATAGATGTGTTCAATGCGGTTCTGTATATAGCCCCGTTTAGAAATTAGAGTTCATTTAGAATGTACATGTACATGGTCGTGAAATTGTTGTATTCTGCTTTTTGGACGGATGGCAGGGCCGTAAACTCCACCCGATGTACGAAATATGTAAAATAAAATCTACGTCTTCTCGCCACATGCTTTGCTTGAATCTGGACCTTGACATGAAAAGAGGCGTCACTTGGGCTCGCTATGGCGCGCTTATTCTCAGATTCCTTTAGATAGACTTCGGCCGCGTGGCGTGAAGGCTCCGACACTCGGATCTCGGTAGGAGTAGGATACAATATACAATGTGTAAATACAGATTAAAAAATCGCAGCGTATTGCAAGTCGAATGAACACAAGCTCTTCTGTATAATATCTAGAAACTCTCTTCAGGGTCTGCGCTGCGCAGCACGGGTATCCTTATGATTGATGATAACGGGGAACTAGTTCACATGCGTCGATTGCGCAGCATTGCTGAAGGCGTCAACTGGAGCAAAGATGGAATCTCATGTGGGAGACTGCACGTCCCGAGATTGAGAGACCGAGGTAACCTCTCAGATCTCAGACGGCGTTTACTTATTTGCACTGAGGTCGTGTAGCTGTCGAGTTCTGTTTGGAAGACAAACACTCATGCTCTCGTGCTAGATGATCACTGATGATCGATGATCAACGGATTTTCGGGAGCTGCGATGTTCTTACGACATATGGCAGAGCCGCAGAGGCAAGTTCGCCGTTCCTCTTGGACTTGGACGTACGTTTGAAGGCCTACATGGTTTCCATTTCGAATAAAAAGATGAAGGGACGAACCTGGGGCTGGTGTCCAACCAGTCTATTATGATATATCCGCACGATAATACATGCCCTTGGAGAGAGGTCGTCGGTCTAAGACCGTCGAACCTTGTAGCCATGAAACATTCATGCGTAGAGCTTCCCTTGGTTTCTTTGAGTCAGGACGTGAATAAGGAGTCGGTTCGAAGGATATCGCCGGAGGGGCATCTCAGAAATATTCACTCTGAAACAACGCGCACGGAGAAATCAACTTAAAGAATGGGTTTATGACACAGCTGGTCGCCAGCGCGCTTGATCAGCAAAACTCATAACATCGACGACTCAAACCAGACACACGCAGACACATATTCCCACTCGTTCGATAAGGTGAGAGAGGACTACAGCCTCCTCTGCGGTAAGTTCTCCGCAGTTTGAGCTCCTGCGCGACGGCCTCGGATGCCTATTTTTTCTTCTCGACAAACTCGCGTTTTGGATGGGCCGATGGAATGACATACTCCACCGGAGCGCCGTTGGGAGCGTCCCTCCATGCGGATGTGGAATACGAGAGGGTACTCTCAAATAGAAGATACTGCCAAGGACACGGACCATGCGGAGATTCTTCGAGGTGGGAACACTGAAAAAGTACAGCCTCGTTCATGAGCAACGCAGTTGAGGAATTGGGGGCCCATATTCGGGAGGGAGACGAAGTACACTGCACGAAAAACAAAAATACGAGATGCCGCAGCACCTGCGGCTTGGGCGGTTGGGTTAGGGTTAGCATCTCAAATCCTCTGAGAGTAGCCCAGCGAGCGTCCTGGACCACACGCCCCCATGCATCGATCCGAAAATCTGTACACATGAGCTGGGTAGAATAGTATAGCTCGCGAACTGACTTCTTAAAACGGTGCAAAGCGAAGTACTGCTAGAGAGGAGCGACATCCAAGCGACATCTGCGACAGATCGGTACGTTGGGCAGACCACTGAAAGAAATCTATTTCACTAAAACAGATATACTTGACACAATACTTGAGCGAATGAAAGACAAGTCCGATTCTCGCACTCACATACATGCAGATTTATGTTCCCGCATATCGCGCCAAGGTATAGTTTCCACCTAAGCAAACACCCATGAACCGTCCTCCGCGGGCTTGATCGCTCGCGCCGTCGCCTTGAATGCCTCAATTTCATCACGGATATGTGAGCATTCCGGGTTCGCTGCCAAAATCGCATACCCCTGCGGCAGTGCTTCCTCAAGTAGCTATGGGCGCGCCATCAGTGTCCGCACGGTCCGTAAATGCAAGAATAGCATACCTTGACGCGACTGTCGGACGAGGGATGGGTCTGCAGGAAGGCGAATCGCGAGTTGCCCATTTGCTTGCCCATGCGCTCGAACATCCTAGATAAACGAGTTGAAGAGAAAACAGATAGATAATGATGCGACGTGATGAGTCTACCTAGGCGCCGCTGCAGGATCATAACACGCCCTACTCATCAAGCGCATACCGATAAGGTCGGCTGAAAAACGAATGCTCATGGTAAATCATTTCCAAAGCCAGAGTCGATAGAGTGCACCTTCGCGCTCCTGTGTCCGCGAATTGGGCAGTTCTCGAAGGAAGGTGTTGATTACGTCCGTAATGCCCATATCAATACCCAGCACGAATGATAAGAAGAGCGAGCCTATCCAAGTGAAGGTCATGCCGGACATGCGTTCAGCGGTGTGGCGCGCCACTGCGTACGCTGGTATTAAACACAGCCATGAAGCTTCGTAAAACTGCTACGCCACCCACCAACATGGCCGATTTCTGCAAGATAAGGGTAAATATCACACACAACAAAAGTTCGCCACACGCACCATGCCCCAACACGGAAGCTAGCCCTTCTTCATCCTGACAGACACGAAGGATACCCGTGAATACGACAATGGTACCTGTAGAACTGGCATGAGGTGCGAAAAAACATTCGGAGTACGGAAGGCGCACCGGGAACTGCCATAGCATTGACTGTCTTGTTATCGTTTACGACGAGGACATTCCACTCCTTTCTGGGGCCGTACACCGCCGCGGGATTGGTAGTGGCGCCGTATTGCATATCAGGGTTCCACGAGCTTTCATTGTCCTCGAATATCCCAAATGGCAATAACGAAGGCGAAGCTTTTTCCTCTCTGATGAAGCCTAGATTATTTGCATGGAGAAGGCGCGTGACAATGCGTTGAACGTGTATGGAGATGGGGTGATGGCTAGGAAGTATCTTCGACCCCAATTCCTGCCGCAGTTCTTTGTACAGATCTTCCGCGAGCTACTTTCGTGAATATTGATACGGTATTTTACTGGACAATTATCTCAACGGACTCGCCTGCGCTTCCGCTTCAGGCGAAGTGTTCATGAATCGCCAGCGACCGGTATCTGGAACTTGCTCTTGACTTGGTTATATCAACGATCTGATAACAGATCAAGGACGCCGAAGCGAACTCACTGCGAGAGGTAATATACAGTGGCCAGAGTCCCAGCTCCAACAGCCAAGGTAAAGCGTAGATCCCAAGTTCTCCAATCGCGAAGGTCGTTTCGCCTACGGCGAGGTGTGCCTCCTTCGGAGAAGCGAACGTATTCGGAACTTCGAGGAAATGATTGCGAGAAAGGGCGAGAATTGGTGATCACTGAAGGTTTCGTTGGGTTACTCCTGGTCGCATGGTGCAAGAATGCCCGAGTGCTTCGGTTTGGGCAAAGCCTTGGTGTTGTAGTCGCCTTCGAGGCCCGAGATAGCGAGCACCAAGTCCGTGAGATCATGAAAAGCTGTATATTTACCGAACAGACCGTAGAGATACGCTAGCAATACGGGGATGAGAAATAATGCGGAAAGAAACAAGAGGGAATTTGTTGGTCGGCAACGCGTTGGCCGCGTCACCGGCACGAGACCAATCGCTTACGTCATCACATGCATCACATACATAACTTCTATTTTCGGCGCATCGCCTGATGCCCTTTGAATTTTCTACCAAAAAATACACGGCCATGAGGAACTTGGAAGTGCGCGCTGGTAATTCACCAAAAAATAATGCCGAGTACCCGGATTGAACGAATGACCTTCTCATGTACTTGATTACATAATAATATGCAATGTTACAAGTGAGACGCGACTACCACTGCGCCAACACGGCCATAAACGTGCAATAACGCCCGTGTGAGGTGATCAGCGCCGCTCCCAGGAGGGCTACATATGGTACTTATCACATCCCTTTACAACCTCTTTACAAAGCCTTTCCATTTACGCCGAACAAAATCACGACTCCAACATCTAGTAAAACATATCAATTTCTTTGCAATTTCTCGTCACATTCTTCGGGAATCAAGATACAGTCGGAGGCGGAAGTAGCTGTCCTATGGAAAACTACGCAATATCTATGATACTTACTTGATCGACTCATCATCAATACGTATCATATCGGAGTGTGCTTTAGGAGACTACGCAATATCAGAGTTAGAGCTGAACCGATCCAGCTCCGATTTGATCTGCACGAGACGCGCCCTTCTGTCGCTGAGGTCCTTCCTTTTCCTCCCGATAACGGGGTCTTCCTGCAGCAGCTCGTCGATATTCACCTTCCCGGCTGCGGCGTCCTTGAAGATGCTGCTGAGCAGCGTCTTGTCGATTCGGCCGGAGAAGGTCTGGTTGAGCTCGTGTTCGATGGTGAGCGGGACGTAGTCGATGACCCTCTGGCGAACGCGCGAGGCAGATGAGCGATCGCGCGCGAAATATGAAAGGCGGCGCGCACCTGGAATGCGACCTGGAAGTAGGCCTGGACGCTTGCCATGACACACAGCTCCTTCTCGATAGTCCATGTCACGGGCGTCGCGCCCAAATCATCATCCGCGATGAACGTAGGGAACGTATGAAGACTGTCGGTAGAGACGAAACTGCCTGCGTAGCTGGCCCTGGCTACGGGAGACGGGGCACTGCTATATTCATATTCGCCAGCTCTATGCGGAATCGGATTTCGAGCCAATTCGTACTTGGAGAGCCACTTTCTCTTTTCTGCGGAAAATGCATCGAAGTTCTGCGTGAACAGAGGGTGGCTTTCAAGAGCGAGCAACTTGTCCAAAATACCCCGTGCGTCGGCGGAGCAGATCTGCAGCTGCTCGAGTATCACGCTCCTAGCAGCGCACAACGCGAAAACCATATCAGAATACATTCCATCAAGACCGACGAGGCGCCCGCACCTCACGTAGCTCTCCAAATACTTGAACTGCCCAAAATGCCTCTGGACGCGCTCCTCCAGGTAAGACAAAAGCCGCGCACCGATATCGTCGAAGCACGCCCCCGAGGGCGCCGGCCAGAGGTCGGTGTACTGCGTAATCAGCACCTTCGTCGCCTCGAACGGGATCTCGCCCGGCAGCTCCCAGCCGATAGACCTGGATACAATCAATATCAAGCGACGAAATCGAAGGGTCAAATGGGCAGTAATACCTCTGTATAACCGCGCGGACGTCGTCCAGCCAGCGCGGCGCGGTGCGCGTCGCATGCGCCAGCAGGCTCCCGTGCCGCCCGTACGGCGACACGCCTTCCAGCGGCGTCTGGATCTCGAACGGCCAGAAATCGGGCGTCGTCTGCACGATCGCGTCCTTGAACTGCGCGTACCGCGCCCTGTTGTGGCGCGCGAGGCGCGTGTCCGCGCTGCGCCCGTGCACGGCGTCCGCGATGTCCTTGCAGAACGCGTTGACGCGGAGGATGACCTCCGTCGCGGGGTCGGCGTCCGAGCGCGGCGGGAGCGCGGCGAGCTCCGCGGCGCACCTGCCGAGCTCGTCCGCGACCGCCTTCCGCAGCTCGGGCAGGCTGGGTGCGGCGACACGTGAGCGAGCCGCCGGTGCACGACGAAGACGGAGACGAGGCAGCACACGCACTTCTTCTCGATGCGCGCGACGAGCAGCGCGCTGATGCTGCGCACGAAATTCGGGATGCCGAAGCGGGTGCGGTCGGCCATCGCGCTCCACGGCGCGGTGCTGTCGAAGAAGCGCGCGGCGGTGCGCTGCGCCTCCGCGGCGCTGATCTTGCGCTGGCGCTCGTCGTCGTCGGGGAGGCGCACGCAGTAGTACCCGTGCGTGGTCGCGTGCTCACGGCCCTCGAGGACCGCCCTCCACTTTTCGCGGGTGCCCGTCGCCCCTTTCGTCAGCGTATCCGGCTTGGTGAGCACACCTATGATATCGACGGCTGAGTGTGCCGCACAGTGCTGGCGAACATAACAACTGACCAATCGTGCGCTCTTTATCCGGGTCGGCGTCTGCGGCGATGACCACCGCCTGCATCATTTCGATGTCGTCTGACAGCCCGGGTCAGCCCCGCGCTTGGAAGACTCATGACAATAACGCACCGCTCATCGGCATCGCAATCACAATTAACGTGTTCTTGCCCTCTACGTAGCTCTCAACGAGGCTCCGCACGATGGCGATCAGGTCCGCCTCCGCATTCTGGATAAGCCCTACACACCAGCATCAGCGCCGCCCCGCACACGCCCGACGGAAGCACACACCCGGGAGGTCGACGAACGACAGATCCGTCGCGAGCGGGTCGTTCACGCTCACCTGCACGGCGTTCTTCGAGAACGGGAGGATGCGCGCCTGGTCCGCGCGCGCGTTGAGCCTGATCTCCGCCTCGGACATGCGCGCGAAGTCCGCCGGCGGGCGGTGCGGGCTCAGGACGGCCGCCTGTGCGCGCCGGATCCACAGCTCGACCGCGCCCTTGTCCTGGATTACGGGCGGCCCGAAGGGCGTCGTGGCCGGGAGCGCGAGCGGCTGCCCGTCCGCGGCGAACTCGTGCGATATCGCGATGCTGCACGACCACGCGTCGACGTCGCTCGACATCGTGCACACCATGGGGCATCTGCGCAGAACGTGGTCAGCGACCGCGGGCGCGGGTACCTGTCGAGTCACCTTGTGCATGTGCCGCTGTCGCGCGGGACGTCTATCTGTGGGGGGATGAGTGGCTTGTTGGATAACATTTGAGGGGTGATACGTACGCCGCTAACGGCCTCGACGAGGGAGCTCTTTCCACCTGGATGAAAGCGCGTAAGCAACGGCTCCAGAACATACAGATGTGCATACTAGACTGTCCCCCAATAACAACCACCCGCGGAAGGTCGAATATGGTTTTCGCCCTGTGAGAATTCCCATGAGTTACACGCTCTAGAGATACGAAACGACGACGTACCCAAGCTCAAGCAGGGACTTGTACAGCGCCATCAGGTCCCTGCAGCGGCGCGCATAGTCGGTCGCGGAGATGTTGGTCTGGCTAGCGAGCCCATCGGGCATGGAGGCGGACGACGACGAGGCGGACATCCTGCGTTGCTTATTGTAAGACCTAGCAGATAGGTATGATAAGCTCAGATGTCCCTAACGATGGAGAACAACTGTGATTCTATACCTAGCAGATAGGTATGATAAGCTATGTACATGAGTGAGTATAAACGACAGTATGTGTAGATAACGAGCATACCTCAGAT